AAGAAAAGCACCTAGGAATTCTCCCTTGTCATCAGCTTTTTAAACTACTCTTGGTTGTTGGAGGCAATATACAAGTTTTCATCAAATGCCAAGAGACATTTAATAGTAGTTACAAGTTGCTCTTATAATTTTTTCAAGAGGTGGCTACTTTCCCAATGGCAAATCACTTAAAATGTATAGTTCAGATGGTCAGCACATCTATGACATATGAGAATTCCTCAGTGACATGGGATTATAAGTCTATTCCTTACCAACAGTTGTGTAGGTGGTGTTTGAAATTGAGGAAAAATGTTCTTCCTCCTATGGTAACTATTTTAAGGCTGACCTTGATTCTATTATTTTTTAAAGGAATAATTTATTCTTACAAAACAAATGTTATCAAAAGATTAGTTACTATCACAAAGAAGGCTATCTAGGTTTTTAAAAGACTGCAACAAATAATTCAGGAAGTCATTTATAAATAAGGAAATATGTTGGTGGGAAATAGAAAGTCACTAATACATTAATCCATCCTGTGGCAAAACGCTAAACTATGAACAAATCAATTTATTTATTTTTTTATAAACAAATCAATTTAAACATTTGTTGAGGAATTTAAACAGATTCAGGGCAGCAATACTGTATATGAGATTTAAGGACCAATACAGCTAAACAATACCTTAACTAAATAATTTTCCTTAATATGACAGTATTTCTAATGTTCCCTTTAGACAAGATCCCTTATATGCAAAAGTTCATGATTTCATACTTTCATTCAAAGTTATTTACCAATGTTCAGCAATAAACTAGCTGTGAGGACACACAGGAGCTACGATAATATCTCTGAAGAGCGAAATATATTTCTTTTTGTTGGTTAATGAAAAGAATGGTCCTGGAGTAGAATCCAGAGGGGAAAAAAACGAACTAATTTTTAAAGAGACAAGTGTACATGTATTAAAAAGGGTTTTATGTGACACCTGAGAAATTTAAAAATTTAAAAATTTAAGGTCACCTGCTGATGACCTTAATATTCTAATCGTTGGCAAAACAGATTCTTGGCTTTTTCCTAATAAAATTAAGTCATTAAAAAAGAAAGAAAGAAAGATTAACCAATGACAATATGTTAGGTATTAATGAAAATAGTTCATAAGCAGTAAGTTCAAGGACATATCACTCAACACGCAACGCTACCCATATTCTCCAATGCAGATTTTGAAGAGACCAGATTTCTTTTTGTGTCTTCATATTTACGGAACACAATTCCTGTTTGCCGTTTTTAGAGGTTCCTTGTGAACCCTCTAAAGGTTTCTTTATCATTTAATATTATAAATAATTATGTTCCTAGGCAGCAGTTCAAAGCTCGGTACAGCACGCGTACAACACCACAAGCAGGTCAGGTGACCTTTCTCCAATTCTCCTCTCTCCGGTGCTGAGGACAGACAAAGTGATATGTCTGTCATACGCCATTACCATTAGAACAGAATCTTGTTCTTTTATTACAACTGAACTCCGCCAGATTTCTCAGCAGGAATGCTAAGTGAAATCAATGTCTTGGATTTCCAGGCTGAGCTTGGAGGTCACAGCCACTCTATCATTTCTCAGCATTATCCTTTCTCGTGCGTGCACACACTCCCCAAGCCTCCAACTGGCACACAGCAGATTGAAAACAGCATGTATCAGAGGACTCACGCTGTACAATTTTACAGTCTTTTGGAGCCCCCTCCTTTTGACTCCCCCCTTCCATTTTTTGCAAATTGCAAATAAGTTTTGTTTGTGTCCTTCTCTAGAGTTGTGAGTCAAAGGGAAAGGCACACCTAGGAAGAAGGGCAGGCAATAAAACCCCGAGAACATGGCTGATTTCTGAGAGCTGCCAATAAGATCATTTTCTTTACATCATCACCTGGATGTGGCTGACAATTCCATTGTTCCAAACAATAAATAGATCTTAAACGTAAACCATCAGTTTGGTTTACGCCAGGTAGGTATGCAGTCACACAAAGCCCACTAATAAAATAATTCTATTTTATAGTAAAATAGACATGAAAATTCACCAATAAAACACACAGAAAATACCCCAGGACTCTAAGAATTGATTGTTTAAAAATGTAAGTATAACAATAAAGGATAGCTGTTTCATAGAAGTAAAGTAGCTTTGTGAAGTGAAAATGTTTATAATGCCATGTATAAATGTCAGTTTCAGGCTACAAGGAACTAAATTCATGTACTGAAATGGGTCCTCCTTATTCACTGTCTTTTTGGACATGTTCTTCATTAAAATGACAAGAGTAATATTTATTGGTCTATTTTTAATGTGCTAAACTTTACCGCTGAGCTAAAACACAAGCACATTTAAGACATCTTTTCTGACAATAAGAGAGGTTGTAGACAGTATGATAGTGGACACTGAGCAAAGGGACATATTTTTATTAAATTGTGTTATTACCTAAAAAGAGGCACTTTATTGTTGGTCAAACTTTTTATGCATTTTATGCAGCTGCAAATGGGAAGAAACACAACACCTACAGCTTTCTTAAACTTTACATGATAGAATATTCACAAAGGCTAACTTTTAAAAACTTACTGAATTTTAAAGATAAACTATAAAATATGCTTTAAAATCATGTATAACCATAGGTATAGAAACATAATTCACTTTTTCACTAGTACCGAAAAATGGAGGTATATGAAAGTATAGAAAATGGAAGAAGATTCCCACTGAGATAGATAACCTGTCTGCTCTGCACCTAGTCTATAGGGTTCTATGACCTAGAGCCACAGAACTCATAAAGCAGTGTGCCAGTCTTGGAAAAGCTAACCTGCAAACACTTGGGTATTTGCCATAGTTACTTAAGAAAAGTATCACTGTGGCATCTGCTCGGTAAACCTTTGAATGGATGAGTGAATGAATGAATGAATGAATAGACTCATAAATGGCTGATTGACATCAAAAGCTTCATGATTATTTAAGTAAGTAATTTGGGGAGAAGATACTAATGATAAAAAGTTATTCGAGAGGTAAGGAAAAAATCTCATTAGTTATTTATAAGTAAAGTATATACTCTAAAATCATAAAATGAAATGTCCTAATGCAAAGCATCATTATGAAACATGATGTGAAATCACATTCATAAATCAAGGTTAAAAAAAAAACAGAGAATGATACCTCACAGAATTATTTGTGTGTGACAGTGACTAATGCTGCTACAGATATTTACTTTACTCAAAATTAGCCTGTACATGCAATACATTAAAACTGCTGGTCCATGAAGACCCCAAAATATCACTGCTTTAAAAATCAAATTTTATTTAACAAATGTTATAATTATTACCAAATTTTAAAAACTATGTTCTACTGTGATAATAAAGAAAAGCGGACCAGATCTTTGGTGTACATTAAGCACAGAACATGTGAGGTCCATTACACGGCTGAAATAGATCTTAAAAAGTGAGTTTGTACATTTCATAATATCCCAGCAGTGGGGACAATAATTTGAACTACATATTTGTACATATTCCTGGTGAATCACGGTCTAAGTTCTTTGTCCAGGTTAAGTTGTACTTTCAAATGTATTTACCTCTTAACACGGAAAAGGCCTCAAGAGTTTTGGGGAGATGGATGCTGGAGTATACTTTCCCAAATGATCTCTTCTCTTTCCCAATTCACCCTCTGAATTAATACATTAACTGTGTAATGCATCTGTCAGGGGACTAGAGCAGGGTTAAAAATAAATTCTTGGGAGTTTTTTTCTCTTTCAATACTTTTTAAATTTTTTTTCTCTGTGTATTCCTTTCAACTGTTGAGACTACTGTTACCCTGTTACTCTTTAGATATTTCCAATATAGCATTTGGGAAAGGGAGAACAGAAATAATTTTCTAGGTAATTCAGCAAAAGACAAGACATTGTTACTTTGGGGCTAAATTAACTGTGTCAGTTTTCTACTTAATATTTTCTGATAGAAAATATGTGTTGTCATTTCCCTGAGTAATCTCAGGGAAAAATACTTTATGGTTACTCTTCTGCCTTCTTTCACAGAGAGTTTAATATATTCATATATCATCATTTAAGATCTTAAGATCTTACAAACACAAAAACATTTCAAATTAAAATTTTTCTGCTTTTCTCTTCTAAGACGAAGAACAAATTATTTGAATACTCTCCCTGCCAATCCTTTTCCAGGTTCTCTCAAGAAATATTTCCTTGGGGTGCTTGGGTAGCTCAGTCCGTTAAGCAGTCGACTCTTGATTTCGGCTCAGGTCACGATCTCAGGGTCCTGGGATTCAGCCCAGTGTAGGGCTCCACAATCAGCGGGGAGTCTGCCTGAGGATTCTCTCTCTCTCCCTCTGCCCCTCCCCCTGCTCGTGCTCTCTTTCTCTCTCTAAAAAAGTAAATCTTTGAAGCCCAGAGAGTCAGTCTTCATTTAAAAAAAAAAAAAGCTTCCTTAGTTCCCAAAATAAAACTATTTCTAAATAGTTTAAATTACTTCTAATACTATTATTATCTTCATATCTTTCATGAAAATCTCATTGGATGAATATCTAAACTTATATCCATACTGCACTGCATTATAACAGTTACTGATATGCCATGGACGAACTCATATATTTTCAGGTGTATTTCAGTTGCCCCTTTTCTGGGAAACCCCTCCCAGGATCTCTCATTGAAGGTAACATCTTTGTCCCAATAACTTCCACTGCACTTACCTGTAACTCTGTAAGACTTTGTATCATAGAATATGGGTATCTATTTTATAAGACTGTAGGCTACCTGAGTGTAGCATATCTATCTAAATCTTTGTAGCACTCACATTTCCTACCATAGCTATCCATGCATGCTTGTTGAATAAAGGAATGGCTAAATGTATGTGTGTTATTGATCCTTATTAATCCTACTAGACTCTTACTCTCCTTGAAGACCCAGAGGTTAACCCAGTTGCTGGCACATAACAGACATTCAATAAATGTCATTGAATGAAAAGGAAAACTCTAAATGGCAAGACATGTAGCTTTGTCAAAAGGGTACCTTGCTTTTGGGTGGTGGGCTGTTTGTGCTCTTGTCTGTGTGAATGCTGGTAGGAGATACAGCAGCACCGAGGTTGCCTTGGGGTATGCCTGGGAGCTTTCCTCCTGGAGATACCTGCATTGCAGCTAGCTGGGCAGCATACAACTGCTACAGGAGAAAAGGGGAGAGAGAAAGACAGAGAGAAAAAAGACTTATCAGTAATAAAATAAATGCACCGCTCAAAAGTACCGCTATTCAGATGCGGTAGTTTTCCTGTGGGTGTTCTTGTTTACTGCTCTGGAACATTTAAAGAAAGAAGTTGTCACCTCAACTTTCATGACTTCATTCTCTGGAGAGAAATGACAGATACCACATACGAAGGATTTCAGCTTCAGGATGTCCAGGGACTCAAAACAAATAACAGTCATTCATATTTACTCTTTCCCAATGTCTAGGGAAGACAAGTATATCATATTATTTGGTCAAGACCTCTTTTTGCTCTATTTTAAAATGTACACAGTGTGTTACAAAAGAATGCAACTTCATATACAAAGTAATTTTCTTAGTATCCATATTGGTTTAAGTTTAGTACACCTCTTTTTTTTGACTTGTTGCAATGGGCACCTGTAACAGTTTTTTTTCTAATCATTAGTTGTATAGAAATACTTAAAAGCCATTGAGGGGGAATGAAAGGAGAGTATTTGAAGAACATTATCTGGTCAGTCTACCTACATTGAAAAAATTAACTGGATGCTTGCCAGAAGTCCACTTTACGTCATGATATATAAACACAGACAAACCTGAAATTATCTTAAGGATTAGGGTTTTAAGAATACTGTCTGAAACATGCACTCTTCCACTAAGCCACCACATAGTAATTCTTATTAAAAAACCGGCAAATTTAATAATAAAAGAAAATTTCACTTTGATAATAATTGTCATATGATATGGTATCTTAAATGAGGAGGTTGCTTTAGATTCAAATAGTCACCTCAAATGTTTAGATTAATTCTCTTTTCATCTCCATTAGCTGTTTGCAAAAATTTTAAGATCTGGATAGAAAAGAAATTAACGGGTGTGTGTGTGTGTGTGTGTGCATGTGTGTGTGCATATGCAAGTTATAACTTCTGTAATGAAAAGACTGATACTAAAGATAAAAGCTCTCAAAGGAAAGTATTGTGACATAGCTTATCTTGATTTTTCTCTGAAAGAAATTTCAAAGGATAAAACTGCTCAGAATAAGCCAGAGACCCTGATAAGTGGGGTCTCTTTAGAAATAAAATATTGAAAACTAAATGCAGGCATATATTTACATGAAAATACACATACACTGTTCACAGTTTCCAGATACTATGGTCTAAATGAATCAGATCATTAAAATTATTGATAAAATTATGGGGGTTTTTATGACAACTAACATAAGATATATTCCAGACAAAGAAACACCAGAGGAGTATATTTGTACTATCAATAATGAGTGTTCCTTCTCCCCAAGTTTGTGTGTGTGTGTGTGCACACATTGGAATAATTATATTCTTTATTTCAGTCTGTGAGAAAGAAAAATTAGATTTAATTCATAAGTCTTAGATTGCATAAATTTGAGTAAAAGGATATGATGTCAAATACAATGACTGGGAGTTTATCATTTTTTTTAAAGTATCAGAATTGATACATTTCCCACACTTGTGTTAAAAACCTTTGTATTATTTTCTACAATTCAAAAAAGTAGTATTTTTTTATCCTCATCCTAAACTGTTTATGAAGTTACTGAGAAAATAACCAATATCCCAAGATACACTTTGCAAATTAAAATTTTGTCCAGTAAAATACATGTACTGAATTACATATACTGAATTAAAAATATTTAAAAAATAGGCTGTATAGCTATATTATATATTATAAATTTCATGTTGTATTATATATTATATCCTTGTCTTTAAAAATTATTTCAGTGGGTATTATTCCTAGAAGCTAACAATCCATATTAGTGGTTTAGTATATACTAAATATAAGATTGCTTCATAATTACTGAAGATTGACATAAGATATTTTAATATCTGTAGGTAAAAAGAAAAATGTGAACAAAATAATTATTCAAAATTTTAATTTGATTATTAAAGAATTATTTCATAATTTCAAAAAATATTGACTATTTGTGTTATTTAGATAATTAAATAGATGGACCAATCACTCACAAAAGGTGATTCAATGCTTAAATATCAATCTCTATAGACAGACCCACAACTTCCAAAGAAATATAAGAACTACTATTGAAAATATAAGCATAAACACACTCTGAAACACTTTATTGAATGTAAAGGTTGCAGATGGCATACACTTGGAATAAAAAATGTCATACACATTCTTTCTTCCTTCAAATAAATGCATTATTTTTATCTTTTTAATTATGAAATTAAGGTTTATCTTAATTAAACTGTCCTAAGGGATGCTTTTGAGTAGAAAAAACTAAATTTGTAAAATAGAAGGACCCATTTAAATATTTTTACAAGAATAGTATGCTATCATCCACTTTGCTGCTACTTTTAAAGCCTATAGAGATTTAAAGTAATTTATGATGAAAATGGCACAAGCGTATTAGTCCATCAGAGTATGGTTAACAGTGGGTAGCTCTTCATTCCTCTTATCCCCCAAATCCCATTCCTCATATTTGGCTTTCTCCTGCTTCACGAAGGTTTAGAAGTAGGAAATAGCTATTTCTAATACATTCTATTTTGTGTGAAATATACGTGTTCCTTAAATTTACATTATATTACAGAAGCATTAAAAAGGTCTCAAATCTTAGAGAATCTAACACACTTCAAGTCTACACAGGTAAAATAAACCAGAAATTTTAATACTTCTGGTTCCTAATTTGAGCTAACTCACAAGTTAAAAGGAAATTTCAGTAGTTTTAAAGAAGCTGACCGTGTTTCTAATAGCTGGCTACTACGTAAGGGTGGGCAACTTACCAAAAAGAAAAAAAAAATGTTGCTGGGATTCATTTTAATACAACCTTTTAAAAAATTAAGTTCATTTATCTATGCATGTGCATGCTGATTAATGTGTGTGTGCTAATTTTAAAAACAAGGGAATCAAGGGATGATGGATATTTTATTTAACTTATTACATGCTCTTGAAGCAAAATCAAGAATAACAATAGTTATTTGTATTGAGTGAGTTCTACAATCACAGAACCACTGGTTGACCTTGTTGAGAGGGAAGGGTCATGGAATGTAGTGGCAATTGGAAGGCCACTGGAAGTAAAAAGCATCCTATGAACTATAGAACTCACTTCCATATGAAAGACACACCTACAATTGTGTGTGTATCTGCATCTTAACTATACAAATTTTTTAAACAAAAATCTGGCTAACATTTTTCTTTAAAAGATTGTGGATAGGGGTGCCTGGGTGGCTCAGTCATTAAGCGTCTGCCTTCAGCTCAGGTCACAATCCCAGGGTCCTGGGATCGAGCCCCACATCGGGCTCCCTGCTCAGCGGGAAGCCTTCTTCTCCCTCTCCCACTGCCCCTGCTTGTGTTCCCTCTCTCTGTCAAATAAATAAATAAATAAATAAATAAATAAATAAATAAATCTTTAAAAAAAAAAGATTGTGGATAAACTCAGAGTTAAATATAAGGTGCATTATGATAAATGTACTTTTTTGAAAAAGTTAGGTTGTTCTAAACATCAGAAACAAACTGGAGATCCTAAACATAAAAAGCTAAAGCTTAAAGAGAGCACTCACTTCATGAGGTTAACCAGACTAACAGAATAACTGTTTTGTCTTGCAGAATTACTTTACTCTTAATTTGAAACTCTTGTGTTAGGGGTTTATTTTAATCCCTAAAACTCCCCAACTCGGGGCACCTGGGTGGCTCAGTTGGTTCAGCGACTGCCTTTGGCTCAGGTCATGATCCTGGAGTCCCGGGATCGAGTCCCGCATCGGACTCCCTGCTGAGCAGGGAGTCTGCTTCTCCCTCTGACCCTCCCCCCTCTCATGCTCTCTCTCTCTCTCTCTCTCTCATTGTCTCTCTCAAATAAATAAATAAAAATCTTTAAAAAAATAAAATAAAATTCCCCAACTCCACAGATCATTAGGTTTTCTGCTCTTTACTTAAAATATTGCATTCCTATTCCCTTTCCCTTCCTTCATTCCTACACCTACTTCAGACAATGATTTTTTTTTTAAGAAAACAATCACATAAAATTAAGCTGGAATCTATCATTGATTACTTAGGGTCCTCCCAGTGCTTATGTGTACGTAAGTGTGTGTGGGTATGTGCGTGCTTCCCTTTTGTTTCCAATTGTTCCATAAACCCACATTTTTTGTCTCTTTAGCTCCTTCAAGGACCCATGGTTTCCTACTTCTAGTGTACTTCTACTGGAATAGTTAGAAGTAAGGTAAACCTCAATTCTAATACCAGTTCTGAACTAGTCACCTTGGGCAACTAAACTGAGCCACACGATTCCTTAATCTGCAAATTCAGAATAAAAAAAAAATGACCTTACAGAGTTGCTGTGAGAAATAAATCACATATTATTATGCATAAAATACTCAGAAAAATACATGGCAAAGAATGCTTTATCAATAAGTAATAGTTATAATTATTAATTAATTATACCAAGTAAGAAACTGACTGGGTAATATATATGTGCTGACTTCCTACTATATACTCTGGACTATGCTAAGTACAGTGGAGGCTACAGGCAATGTATAAATATAGTTTCTTCCCTAAGTCAAGATTAATAAACATAAAACAATGAGAGTATAAGTGTACTATAACTGTATGCCACTTTTAAGGGTGTGAAGGGAAAGGAAATGAGTCAGCGTGAACTGATTTTTCCTAGAAGAGATGTAGCTAAACTGGAAGTAAAAAAAGGAGGTGGAATTCTAGGAAGGGAGAATCATTTAAAGGCACAGGAGCAGGAATGAAGTAGCTTTTGCAAAGGGAATACAGAAGATGGTGTAGAACAGTGAACGGGAGAAAGGACAGTGACCTAATTGAGTGCATACCCCCGGAAGAGTAAAGAAGCACTGGGTCTGCAGGCTAGTTCACCTTACAGAAGATCTTCAAATAAAGACAAAGAGTTTAAATTTAATATGTAGGCAAGAGAAAGTCACTGAATTTTTGAAAGCAATATATGTGATGGTTTTAACTAGAATAAA